TTGGCCCAATTTTTTTTTTTTTTTTTTTTTTTAATTTACTTCAGCATGAAAAACCACCCTCACTGGCCCATAAGAAACATTAAAGGAAGATTTGTTGCAGAGCGTCAAATTAATGTATTTTATTGTAGAATGCACGCTCAGAACCGCAGAGAATTCGCACGATCGTTAAATCAAAACCGAAAGTAAAACGCACACACGCCTTCAAAAGCGATTTTAATACCCCGCGTTTTGAGAGCGACTCCCTAATGCACGCAAATTAGGCTACATACAATATCTAGGCTGTTATTAGTAAACTATAATAGGTTGTGTAGTTGTCTCTGTATAATGCTTGAAAAATTTGGTCTCTATTTGCACTTTGAATATTGAGATAGTAGCCTACTTTGATTATGGCTGCACTTATTGTTTTGTTATTTGCACTTAATACGACTAAGAAAGACCTGTGTTATCATTTGTTATTTATACTGTTTTTATTTCTATGTTCAATTTGTGAAAAGGAGTTCAGTTTGGAGGTCCAACGTTCTAGAAGCTCATAATTCATGTACAGTTCTAAAGTCTGAACAAACGCACATGAAATCAGGAGAGAAGCCATTTTGTGGCAAAACCTTTTACAGTGCTTGAGTGTTGTTGTCTTTTACTGCATATGATAAATCATACTTAGAAAGTAAAACTGAAATGACATTTATTACCATATGATTAGTTAAATCAATTCAAAATGCACCTGCAGACTATTTTTCCAGTCATGTATTTGGCCATTGAGAATGTTTTTTTTTTTAATAATGTGTAAAAATCTTGCCTCGTCTCATGCATGCATTTAAACTTAAAATTAACAACATTTTCTTATGGGGGGCATACCCACAGAACCCCCTAGAGAAACCAATGTGCACCCACTATAGTCTCACAAAATCCTGTGGGGACACTGGGAATGTAGAGGAATCACTGTAGGATTGGCTGTCTCAATATGTGTGTGTATGCCAGTTCACCTTACTATCTGCGTGTGGCGCATGCATGGCACTAAATACATTTCTTTAGTAAAGCATAATGATTAAGGGGGGGCCTCACACAAAGAGCAGCCTAGGGGCCCCTGACCACCTTAATCCGCCCCTCACTGCATGTTATAATGAAAGGATTCGATTGTATAACTCGGCACGGAACAAAAACTGGTGTGTTACAGACTTTAGATATGAGAGAAACCCAGCACATTCATGAGGATGATGAAAGTGTTTTCACTTGAGTAAAGCCTTGAAGTCCTTTTAAGTGTTTTTCTTAATTGAATATGTACAATTTCTCATGAAACAATTTATTTGATTTTATTCAACTCAAAAATATGAACTTAATCTATGCATTGGGTTACATTGATAAAATGAAATTTAAGGACTAAAACAGGTAGACTAAAACAGGTAAACTAAGATAGCATTTGCAGGTTAGCACTTCTTAATAGTGTACCATAGGCGTCAACACCATCACAGTATGGTAAGGGGCGTAACATTTCCGTCACATGCTTGAGGTATTCGGCCAATCACAACGCACTGGATAACCAATCAGAGCACACTTCGCTTTTCAGAACAATGAGATTTGTAAAAATCGACGCATTTCAGAAAGGCGGGGCATAGAGGAGCAACAATAATGTACAGTATGTGGAAAATAATGTTTTTTTTAACCTTAAAATACACAAATACACAAAAATACACCAAATACACAAAATAATGTTCTTTTTAGCAATGTCATATGACCCCTTTAAATGCGTTAATAATTTTAACTAATTTTTCACCGTAATTAATTAATCTAATTAACGCGTTAAATCACCAGCCCTAATATATATATATATATATATATATATATATATATATATATACACATACACAC